TATATATGAGTTGTGTCTGTCTGTGTGTATGGGTTGCGTCTGTGTGTATGTGTTATGTCTGTATTTATGTGTTGTTTCTGTGTGTATGTTTTGTGTCTGTGTGTATGTGTTGTGTGTGTGTGTATGTGTTGTTCTGTGATTGTGTGTGTGTCGGTTTATGTTGTATGTCTGTCGCCAGTGTGTGCGCCTCTGTGTGTCTAAGTGTTTGTGTCTGTTTGGGTGTGTGTGTGTGCCTGCGTCTGTAAGTCTGTATTGTGAGTGTGTCTGCTTCATTTCTGAGTTGTATGTGTTCTTTTGCGTGTATATTTGAAGATATGCATTTGCTATTCATGCTTTCCTTTTTGTAATTTACATTTTTACTGTGTCATTTAGTGCATTTTATTGAAAATCTCTATCATGAACAACAAGCAGCCATCAGAGCAGCTGGTGAAACATCTGATTGGTTCGAGGTGCAAAAGGGGGCGAGGCAGGGGTGCATTCTCTCACCATGCCTATTCAATATATACGCAGAAAATATAATGAGAAATGTCAAAAATGACCAGACTTGTGACAGTTATGATCCGCTCAAAATTGGTGGCAACCCTATTCCGGAACTCCGCTACGCAGATGACACAGTCCTCCTTTCGAACAGCGTAAAGGGAATAGAAAATTTAATATTATCCGTCCAAAAGCACAGCGAAGATCAAAATCTGTTCTTGAATTTAAAGAAAACGAAAATAATGTCCACAGATAAAACTGGCTGTCACCCAAAAATAACAATAAATGATGAAGAAATTGAAAATGTCACAAACTTTTAATATCTAGGCTCTATATTAAACAACAATGGAGACTGTTCGACAGAAATTAAAAGGAGGATGGCCATAGCAATGCAAAGATTGAACAGCCTTAAAAGTCTATGGTTAAGCACAAGCAAAGGAGATAAAAATTAGAATTTTGAGAGCATGCATCTTCCATGTGGCTACATACGGATGTGAGTCGTGGACTATCTCTCAGTCCTTAAAAAAGAGAATAGGGGCTTTTGAGCTGAAATGCTATAGAAAGATTCTCAGAATATCTTGGACACAGAAGACGAGAAATATTGACATCTTAAAAGATCTGAACATCAAGGAAGATTGGCTAATAAACAGCATCCTTTCTCGAAAGCTGAAATATTTTGGTCATATCAAGCGCCACGAATGATTGGAAAAAATTATAGCAGAAGGCATGGTACCAGGAAGGAGGGGCAGGGGCCGACCGACACGAAGATGGGCACAGGATATAAGTGACTCCTTGAACTGGCAAGAGACCGAGTTTCTTACAGGCAGACTGTGATGAGAGCGACGTTCTGCAAAGGACCTACTACATGATGATGACTGTGTCATTTGATACATTAACATAGTAGGCTTGATATAACAAATACCGCTGCCGTATGAAAGATGAGTGCTTAAATGTAAAACGAGGCATCGCACTCAATGTGTAATCCATTAGAAATGAAGTTCCTACATTGAATCGTTCGTTCGGGTGTTCGATACATTTACTCCCACAAATATTAACATTAGGCTCTGCATGCCGGACTTACAAGTTCGGAATTCCCTGTAAAAAATTCGATAAATCTGTCATATTTTCTCGCCTCCTACCTTGACCGGCGAGCTACAAGTTGCTGTCCCCAAGGTCATGACCAATTCACATTTTCTATTGTGTTTGTACTCCTCCTTTTCCTCCCTTACCATCCCCAGACACAATTCCCGTATTCCTCAAAGGATATAATATCGTATTATTCACGTTTTCGGTCTAACAAAAGGCGATGCGCCTGAGAAAATTTCGCAGCTGTTCTCCACATTCTAAAATCTGGGCCGTCGTGTCAGACCAAACAAAATATGTTAAATTTCTCACCAAAACGAGAAATTACTTCTCCTGAATGGTGCGATTTTGTTCTAAACCGGTGGTTCTCAGCCTTCCTATGCCACGACCCATTAAAACAGTTCCTCGTGTTGCTGTGGCGACCCCCCCCCCCCCCCAAGACATACAATTTTCTTCTTACTTCTTCATAGCTTCAATAAATATGTGGTTTCCTGTGGTCTTCTTACTACTTCAAAGCTTCAATGAAAATGTCGTTTTCGATGGTCTTTAGCGACCCCTGTGAATGGGTCATTCGACCCGAAAAGAGGGTTGCGACCCACAGGTTGAGAACCTCTGTTCTAACCGTTTCGAGGTCTAGTCCTTAAGGTAGTTCGAATAAAGATGGGGACCACTTTTCAATCTCGTAGTGCCTTTTCGTCTTCTTCTGCCACACCTCCCCACCCTTCCCCTTCTTTTCCCGCCCGTTATGTTGTTATCACAATCGACGTCACTACGCATTGTGTATTCACATGCGTGCTTAGTCCCCCGATGCAGCAACCACTCCAAAATACCTCTACTGATTGTTCCCATGAGAAGTTACTTCTAATGTTTCCTATCCTGATCTTGAAGATGGCATAGACGTGCTTCACAAAGCTTTACTCCTAGATCCCGCAGTCGTGTTATGGCGCATAGGTGCTTAACCTGCTCGCGCGAAAGGGTTCATGTCTTTTGCCTTCTGATGCAGTTTCTTCCATCGTCTTCTTGTCTAATTAATCTAGTTATAAGTTATGAGTTAGATTATCTTTACAGCATTCCAGACACATCCATAAGCGCTCAGATTCCCCTCTCAACATATTCATCAGCGTCACTCGGTTAATAGTGCCAGTCCTATGTTGGTTAACAAGACTTCGTGTACGACCGGTGTGCCTCTCATACTTGGTTGTGCCGATCTTTACTCCTAATTCGCGTATTCTTAGCAGTGATATGGAAACGTTGCTTCCAAAATCCTCAGAACTTCCTATCTCTCTAATGGTAATGACAATGTCTATGTGATCCATGGGGCTGCTATCTTCAATTAATGCAGCACCTGCCAGTCTATCAGCTCTCTCATTACCAACAACGCCTCCATAGTACTGAGAGGGTGGAAGGGGAGGGGGGGGCGCGTTATAATAATCTTTTTGTCACCTCTACATACACGGCTAGGCACATCATTATAGATCAATCACCACGTTAGATTAGGTCGACACATGAGATAAAGCCAGTTATTTAAAAAAAAAAAAATTCATTTTCGACACGGATTCGAACTCAGGATTCCGAAAGACAGGCGGGACTAGCCACTGTGCTAGCAAAGGACTCGCATCGTACATATACATTAGCAATGTTAGTCGTAAACCACCCACCCCCCACCCTCACCCCCAGTCTCGGTCTGCATCCCTTGCACCTGTTTGCTGTCCTGATTCCATACATCTTTTTTTAAAAATATTTTACAGTCTTTTACATTGACCTGCAAGAGACAAAATGCTTTCCTGTACCAAATTTTATGTCCTGGGTATTCCGGTGTGTGAGATAATGAGCAGGCTGATAGATTGGCTGCTGCAGTCCCTCTGGGTGGTGATCTGGTGTATGATAAAGCGGACATGGCAAAGGCTGCCTGGGAGTAAGCGGGCAGTGCAACAGAACATACCAAGCATCCATACACTGACAGACTAATTCAGCGGGTTGAGGGGTGAGCGGGGAGGGGGGGGGGTGAGAGCATGGGTCTGGATGAGAAAATGGAGGCGAACTTTTAATCAGGTTGCAGTTAGTAATATTAGCATATCGACTCTTCGTTTTCTGCAGAGGAAAGAGACGGAGCCCGTGTGGGAACGTCCCGAGTGCAGGGATGTCAGTTCTTGATACATTCATGAGCCAATCTGCTACGCAGTCTCCTGACCTAGCATGATTCCCTGGAAAATGAAGCTTAGAGTTTTGACCTTGAAGAAACTACCTCTGAGACAGAAAATGAAAACAATTAAGAGCAAACAAACATGTTTATAGTTTTCTGTATGCGGCCTTCGAATTCTGCCTTCTGTGGAATTTGTAGCTGTTTGCGTTATGGATACCTCCTGACAATTTTGAATATTCAGAATTTTGACCTTGGTTGAAATCCTTGCGACTCACAGGAGCACATAACTCTCTAGTGAGGAAACCATTCTCTGTGTTTGTAGTTATCTTCCTCGTTTGTTGTTAGCAACCGGCATAGCAACAATATTTCACCTCAAAGAAAAATTTTATTCTGATGCTATTCCAGCAGTGGTGAGGTGTGCAGCTAACGGCCGAAATCACCGCTTAAATTTCAGTTGCCCAAAAAAATGGTGGGCACTCCTCCGAAAAACGGTCAGAAATTATCCACGTTAAAAACATACCCTAACAGGGTGTGTGCTGTGTGCGCGCGTATGTATGAATGTGTTATTGTGAGTGTGTGTTTGTGTGTATATGTGTGTGTGTGTGCAGTGGGTGTGTTTTTTATGTTTGGAGTGTTGTGTTGTTTCTGTATTTGAGGGTAAATTTTACGCTGGTTTCCCCATACATACTTCACTACACATTAGCTCGCTCTGATTAGACGGCCTACTGATCGCCTCACTTCTGATAGGTCGGCTTCGAGCGATCTGACTGTCACACAAGGTCACGCTGGTCTCTCTATTTACACATCGCTACACACTAGCTGGCTTCTGATTAGACGACCTACTGATCGCCTCACCTTTGATAGGTCAGCCTCGAGTGATCCGACTGTCACACTAGGTCACGCTGGTCTCCCCTATTTACATATCGCCACGCACTAGCTGGCTTCTGATTAGACGACCTACTGATCGCCTCACTTCTGATAGGTCGGCCTCGAGTGATCCGACTGTCACACTAGGTCACGCTGGTCTCCCCTATTTACATATCGCCAAGCACTAGCTGGCTTATGATTAGACGACCTACTGATCGCCTCAATCCTGATAGGTCGGCCTCGAGTGACCCGACTGTCACACAAGGTCACGGGGATATTTCGCACTCGCCCTGATACTGCGTGTTGTATATTTCACATGCCAGAGCTTTTAACACTTCTAAAACATTTAGATACTGGGTCTATCACACAACCCCCGAGAGAATGACAAAACCTATGTCATAGACCGTCTTTTTCGCGGAAATAAGAACGTAAATCCAGACAACAACAGACTGCAACACACATAACCTCTTTCACGGTAGACTAATCCAACCAACTTATCAATGGAGTTTACCTACAACCAGTGGTGTGTAAATGGGTAGACCATCGTATAAATAACCCTTTTGGTGTTTGGAGTGTTGTGTTGTTTCTGTATTTATGTGTTTATACTGTCACTGCTGTAAGTATTAATTTGTTTTTGTCTGTGTTTACTGTGTGCACGTGTATGAGGGGTGTTGAATTGTTTCTCTGTGTATATTCACATGTAAGCGTGTCCGCGAGTGTTTACGTATACAACAAATACTATATACATACTAACATTTCAATTCCAGAACGTTGCGGTGTCATGGCTACACCATTCATTATAGGAGGTCAAAGGTCTCGAAGAGGTCAGTGGCCTTGGCAAGCGTCACTACAGATCGTGACCTCGACAACCCCTTGGCACCGATGTGGCGGAGTACTCGTGCATCCTAAATGGATTTTGACCGCCGCCCACTGCATGGAAGGGTAAGTTGTGCAGATCTGGACGCTATCTACTGATGAAATATAGCTTATGAACTTTGACCTTTATGTGATCATTTCTGACAAGAAAACATTATCATCAACACCAGTGGCTCTCAACCTTTTTGATGCAGCGACCCTTTAATACAGTTCCCTCACGTTTGTGGCGACCCCTGTGAAAGGGTCGTTCGAACCACACCCACACACACAAAAAAAAAACGTCGCGACAGGCAGGCTGGGAACAGCTGCACTAATTGTGTTGGACTGCATGAACATGCTTAAGAAAAAAAGTACCAGCTAGTATATGACCTCAATGAGCAGAAAGCAGTGGGAAGTTACACTTGACCCCTCTCCCCCCCCCCCCACCACCCCCACCCCGACCCCTTCCCTGATATTCACATCTGGGTATGTCGGCTGGAAGATATTGCGCCACTGTATGCAGAAACATGCGTGGATAGAGCAAATATCATCAAAGGTTTACAAACTAGACTAGCAGATAGTAACGAATCTCTGACGTTTAAACCTCAGACCTCGAGCTCAAGCTTTCTGCGGGACTCGAGAGCTTTCTGGCGTTAACAGGACTGCATAAACTCGGAGTGAAGCCTGGTAAAGCGCGTCTTTTTTCAGCCAGCGTCGAACCGGGGTCAGTTTCGGACACCCCAGAGTAGAAGCTGCGTTGAACTAGTCTGAGTGTGAAATGAAATGTTTACGTACTATGTTAGGTGTAACTAGGAAAGGTCGACTTAGGAGCGATGATATCAGGATTAGAGTCGGCACAGAACCAAAACTGAACTTTATATGTGGACAATAAATCAAATGTAACGTGAAGGAGCACCACAGAGAGCACTGCTATACAGATACAGCGGTAACAGAGCCATAGGTCGACCACCCAGAATATGGACCGCAGAAATATCAGAGACACTGAAAAATACGAGTACTTTATACGAAACGAACTGAAAGGCCCGTTCCAGAGATCTCTTCCTGTCCTGACGCAGCGAGGCATTCCAGGAGTTGCGAAAAGAAGAAGAACGAGGTCAATAAATGAGACAATTCAACCAGTTTTTCGTGGGAACAATCAGTAGATGTACCTCGGTGTGGCTCAGCACACATGGGAATGTTCAGTATGCAGTGACATCGATTGTGCTAATGACATAACATAACATAACATAACATAACATACCATTACATACCATAAGATTGTTAAATGAATCGTCGCTATACTGCTAGTGGATGACAAAACAGCATGTTTGCTTTGCTTGTAGTACCCAGCAGGCAATGGGGACAGATAATTCCTGGATCTAATGTCACACAGGAATGGTACCGCCCACTTGTGGAAATAATTATCCAATAAAATCGTCACTTTCTTGATTAATTGACATGTCATTCTATCCAAAGGCCAGTAACTGGGGAAGGGGGAGGGGAAATGGGGGGGGGGGGGTGGGTCGTACTCAATTAAATGTATGTGTAAATTTGCTTTGCTTGTAGCGCTTGTAGCACTTAACAGGTAGAGAGTACATTGCTCACATAATTCCTGGTTCTGTTGTCATCCATGAACGGTACCGCCCACTTGGAAAAATATTTATCCAATAACATTTTTCATTTCTTGATTGATCGACAGGCCATTTTATGGAGAGATCAGCAATTGGAGGGTTGTACTGGCAGACTATAACCTGGAGACAGTGTCTGGGAGTGAGATCTACAGGGACATTGTCAGGGTTATCAGTGTGAGTCATGTGTGTCATTTTTAATAGATTAGGTTAGTTGCGTATCCTTTACAGGACGCTGCAGAACCAACCCCAACAGCCCGTGGCTGTTGTGTGGTTTTTCAAGGCAAATTTACGTCCAGTAGTTTGCCATTGCTTCCTGGACGGTCGGCTTTCTTGATACCACTGTCGAAACCAACACATGACCCATGGCCCGCAGCTGGGGTTGAACCCGGCATCCCGGCATTACGAAGCGTTTGCATCGAGTTAGCCACAGAGCCGTCTTTTTATTAGATACTTGTTTCATATTAAAAAGCATTAACAGTCTATGGTTAAGCTCCAGCAAGGAGATCAAAAGTAGAATTTTGAGAGCATGGATCCTCCCTGTAGCAACATACGGATGTGAGTCGTGGACTATCTTCCAGTCCTTAAGAAAGGGAATAGGGGCTTTTGAGCTGAAATGTTATAGAAAAATTCTCAGAGTATCTTGCACACACACAAAAAAAAAAAAAGGAGAAATTCTGACATCTTGAAAGATCTGAACATCAAGGAAGATTGGCTAATAAACAGCATCCTGTCTCGGAAGCTTAAATATTTTGGCCATATCAAGCGCCACGACGGATTAGAAAAAATAATAGCAAAAGGCATGAAGGAAGGAGGGGCAGGGACCGACCAACACGTGCACAACAATGCACACAAGCGTCTGATCTCACTACCCAGAGACCAGGGAGAATAGTCCAGGTCCAGGTGAAAAAATTCCAGCCCTTGCAGGGGATTGAAACCGGAACCTCTAGCACTTGAGTTGGACACCATGTCTTGAGACCACGCAGCCCCCCACCCCCACCCCACCCTTTAGTGTTACATAAGAACAGTTCGAGGATAGGATCAAAGAGGACAGGTTTGAGGTTTGAACAACGTATCAACATCATGGCACACGGGTAATAACCCATAAGTGCTCCGTTCTTCTTCTAACTCAAGTCTGAGTACGAAGAAGCTCAGCACAGTGCACAATCTCTGTAGCACCGGCGAGGATCCTGAATTTGCGTAGATTATTAACACAAAATTTTGCCCGGGCAGCGCCTTTAGTCTACTCTTTGCGATTTTCAACTGCCAATGGATTTTTTTACGTGCGCAACAATACACACGAGCGACCGATCTCACTACCCAGCGACCAGGGGAATTACTAGAAGTCCAAGTCCACGTGAAAAAGGTCCAGCCCTTATAGGGGATGGAACCCATAACCTTTAGCACTCGAGGCGGACACCATGCCTCGAGACCACGCAGTCCCTCTCCCCCACCCCCTCCCTTTTTGTGTTACATAAAAACAGTTCGAGGATTGAAGAAAACTATTCAAATGTAAATCAGATGGAAATGTAAATTAAATGGAAATGGAAATCAAATGGAAGTATACAAAATAGACATAATTTTCCATGTTACTGTAAGTTTTGTTTAATTAAAAAAATATTGTGCGGTTTATTATTGATTATATTTTGAATTACATATATGTGGAGACAGCAGTGCCCTCTTAACACACGGGTAGGTAAAGCTCTTGCCTCGGTGACCCCACGAGTATAGGGGCTCCCTATGCTAATCTATGTATGCCAAGTGAGCATTTACATTTCATTCTTGTGAGTGGTTGTCGTAGGGGCAGCAGCACACGGGTTTGCACAAAAGCCCATTATACCGTTTAGGACGGCTCTGTTGGGAAGGGGGAAATCTGTTAAGTGCTTAAGTGGCCCTCAACCTTCCTAATGTGGAAACCCTTTAATACAGTTCTTCATGCTGTGGCTACCCCCAAACCATTCAATAATTTTCGTTGCTACTTCATAACTTCAATGAATATGTGTTTTGCGATGGTCTTTGGCTACTCGTGTGAAAGGGTCATTCGACTCAGGTTGAGAACCGCTGCATAAGGACATTAGAGTGTCGTAAACTGGCCCTGCCTGCCAGCCAATGATACGATCAGCTGTGCCATAACAGGAAGTTTTCAGTTGGCATTTTCTCTTTCCATGAGATGTGCAAGTAAAGGTTAGTTTAAAGTCGAAAGGATTGACGTCGTCGACTCTTGTTTGATTCCATATGGCTCGGGTCGTCGCACCTGATTTGATCTTATAGGCTAGGGTCGTCGCACCTGATTTGATCTTAAATGGCTAGGGTCGCCGCACCCAATTTGATCTTATAGGCTAGGGTCGTCTATCTAAGTACTAAACACGCCCGACGTTGCTTGACTTCGGTGATCGGACGAGAACCGGCTAGGGTCGACGCACCTGGTTCGATTTTATATGGCTCGGGTCGTTTCACCTGGTTTGATTGGCTCGGTCCACTGCCTTCTTTAGAAGCTGGAGACAGCCCTGCTTGGTCTCATTCTGCAAATTAGCTAGCCGCCCACCGAGAGCGTCTTACGAAGCATGAACTCCACTGCATAAACGACGATCCCCAAAGGACCTAAAAAATACTGCACCCTTACACCGAACAGTGCATTCTGGGATATGAGTCGGCGATAAATTATTTCTTGGTGATAATTGTTCTGGTTTTAATACCGTAGTGGAGTTAGTAATTAATTCATTCAGCCCGACAACCTGGAAAAAAAAAATGAAAGAGGATGGGTTAACACTTTCATTAGCAAGTAATTCGCCATATGTTCATTGATCACACTATATGTGGTACACATAACTTTACTTTTCCTGTCCCATGCTTGTTTTATGTTAACCCATTATTTTCCAGTTGTTGCTATAACAAATTTTTTTCCCCATAGCTGTGTGAGACGAAAAAACTGTTGCTTTGGGATGCGAAAACTATAGCATAGACACTTTTAAATACAGCACTATCAGGGACTGAAAGAGTAAAACTAAAGAGCTTGGTATGTCCCGTTTTCAGCTCAAAATATTAGTGGGATGTCATGTTTTCAGCTCAAACTATTAGTGGGATGCGCTGTTTGTAGCTCAAACCATTAGTTGGATGTTCTTTTCTCAGCTCAAAATATTATTGAGAAGTCGCGTTTTCAGTTAAAAATATTAGTGGGATGTCCCGTTTTCAGCTTAAACTTTTAATGGGATGTCCCGTTTTCAGCTCAAAACTAGTGAAAAGTCCCGTTTTCATCTCACACTATTAGCTGAATGTCCCGTTTTCAGCTCTGACTATACAGTGGGGCGTTCCATTTTCAGCTCAAACGATTAGTGGGATGTCCCGTTTTAAGCTTAAACTATAAAGTTGGACGTTTTCACCTCAAACTATACAGTGGGGCTATCCCTTTTCCAGCTCAAACTATTAGTGGGATGTCCAGTTTTCAGCTTAAACTATAAAGTGCGATGTCCCGTTTTTAGCTTAAACTATAAAGTGGGATGTCCCGTTTTCAGCCTAAACTATAAAGTGCGATGTCCCGTTTTAAGCTCAAACTATTAACGGGATGCCCCTTTTCAAGATCAAGGTTGCCCGGCTCGCTAGCGCAGTTGCTTAAAATCATATGCGCGGCGACCGGGTGACAAAGTCCTTGTGGTTTCTGGATACAAAAAAAAGATCAGGGTATTATGGTCACCCTATTGTAGACTCATCTACAGCAGTCTCATCTACATCAGTCTCATCTACAGCACCCTGGCTACGTCCGGACCAGCAACTTCCCCAACGATGTGGCCCTGCTGGAGTTAGACTCAGCCGTGGACATGACCGCTGGAGATGTGCAGACCGCTTGTATGCCTGAGTCGGACTTTCCCCTTGTTCCCGGCATGAAGTGTTGGATCAGTGGTTGGGGCGAGACACGGGGTGAGTTCATCATCATCATCATCATTGTCGTCGTCGTCAGTATTATCATCGTCACTGTGTGCCATGTTGATAATCGTGGGCTGCCATCTTCTTTCACCGGCTGTAAACCGACGGAAAGCTCTGGTTTTTCGCCCACTTCTGCATTTTGGTCTTGGTCCAGAACTTCAATTTTGCGTGCACCTCCGTTTTACAAATCTGGCGTATTTATATGCAGAGGGCTGGTTTCTTGCTTGTCAGGCAGATGCACTCTGACTCAAAAGAATTGCGTGGGGTGTCACGTTTCGCCATCTCATGCGATCACCAGAATCACGGGTCAAGTCAGTGTTGTTATTCTCACGCCCCAATCTATATGGCTGTTTGCTGGCACCCTTCCGTCTTTCCAGACGACAGTGTTATATAGTGCTACGAGGATAGATAGGACTCACAACCCAAGGTGATAGCAAATGTGACTAGCAAGAACCGCCCGCGTTAAGAAAAGTCTTCCAAAGTTAGAGTATGTGATTTCATGACTATTTTTGCGATTGTTTGTATTTTTTTTTTAAATGTCTTAGCCATTAAGATATTTATCTCTTTGCTTTCCTTTGTCTTTTCACTCTTAATTTGTATATTTTTCCCAAAACTCTGAATGTCACTCGCAATGGTGTAATGCTTCCCAAATTGTCCTTAGTCGTGGCGCCTTTTTTCAATTAAAATGTCTCCACCGCGCTCTAACCGAAGCAAAGTTTGACTATTGGTATGTAAGAGATATAAAAAATAAAATAAAAACTCGTGTGTCTTCGAATATTTCGCGATGCCCATTTGAAGAGGTCGCGGCTCCCCGGGACGCCGCATCGCCCAGTTTTGGAATCACTGGTGTAGTGGCTAGACGCCTGTCTGTCGGTTCTGAGGTCTAAGGTTCGAAGTGGCATCGAGACGGATTTTATAGCTGACTAAAGTTATGGAACTTAAGAATTCTCTTTCTCCTCTCAACTGACAAAGACAGATTACACAGAATATTCTCCATTTTGTGAAATACTGCCTTTGCTTGAACTATTCAACATTTAACTTCTTTAATACATCTTCTGTCTGATGTTATCAGGGTACCCGAGCACTTTAACGTATCAACTTGCTGGAAGATTGTCCTATTCAGTTTTCATTATCGACCAGAACAGAATGGGAGTTGTTAGCCTAAAAACACTTGAAAACATAATTAGGAGGAGATCGGAGCGCTTATGGTCCTGTCCCTATGTGTGATGAAGATAAACTCTGACATGAACTATGAACTATGTCCTATTAACTTTGGTACTTCCCCGGGTGGGTTCTGTGGTCCCGTTGTGGGAAAAACAAGAATAGACCCGCTGCCACACCAACAAACATGTCGTTATAGTCGACTAACTGTGGACTCCTTCAAAGTCGGAGTGCATCTGCCTGAGAGGCAAGAAACCAAGAAGTTGCATACAAATAAGCAAGATTTGTAAAGCAGAAGCAAACAAAGCCAAAATTCAGAAATGGACCAACAACCAGGTCTTTACGTCGCATTTTACAGACGCTGGACGCAAACAACCAACAACTTCGATGCCCCATTTTGGAGGGTCAGTTTTCTTTATAATTGCCATTCTGTGTTTCTGCTGCTCAAACTAAGATTCTTGTTTTCACCTCTCAAGTCTCCTTTTTCTTCTTCCTCTCTTGTCTAGTGTAACCTTTCACCGTCAGGTCAACTGACATTGCTGCTGGGGTATTGACCACTTTTGCGGTGCAGGCACGGAGACTTTGAGCCGGAGGTTGTAGAGCTGCATGAACTGTACAGCTGGAATTTTATTACTGCCCCCTATGGAAAAAAAAAAAAAAAACACCTTACCGAGGATTCGAACCAAGATTTCTAGCTTGAGAGCCCAGCATTCTAACCGTTCAGCCAGCTACTCCTGACTACTCCAGTCATGCTCAGATTATGTATTGTAGGATATCGGTGTTTTTCCTTTTCTTGGTCCACGGTATTGTAAAAGTTTTCCTGTAGCATTTCAGTTCATCAGGTTAATGACCGCCTCCCCTCCCCTTTTCACAACCTTTAATTCTTCTTCTGCCTTTCTATCCCCCAATGGAGCATATATGCCCTCAACCACCTCACGCCAATCGTTCTATCCGTCTCTATCGTATGCAGCTATCCCTATGTCCTCCCCATCTGTCTAACTTCACCCTCTAGCTCCCTTGTCAATTTTTTTGTGTGCCTTTATTTCTATACCTCAGTGGGTTCCAGTGAAAAGACATTCTAGTTATATTATTCTCAGGTTTTCTTAAGGTGTATCCTATCCAGCGCCAGCGTCTTTTTATCACCTCTTGGTCCACCGGTGCTCGTTTAGTTCTCTGCCAAAGCTCTACAGTAGTGATTCTAACACACCATTTAATTCCCTCCATTCTGCGCAGGCAGGACCTTTTTACCTTTCCTGCACCGCACTGAAGAGTGTGCCACACACAGGCAGTGAAAACATTCAATCACTAATGTGTCATTTTCTCTTCATCTTTTTTTGTAGGCACCGGTGGAAATGAGCACATCATGAATGAAGTGACCGTTGATGTGTTACCTCACGATCAATGCAAGTCCATGTGGGGCAAGGTCAACATTGATGTCCTTGAAAGTCAAGTGTGTCTGGGTCATGGTCAGACTGGAGCGTGCTATGTAAGCTATTATTTTAATTGTTGTTGCATTGATGATGTCATTCTTCTTCTTCTTCTTCTTCTTCTTCTTCTTCTTCTTCTTCTTCTTCTTCTTCTTCTTCTTCTTCTTCATTCTACACGCTCACGGATTGTAAACTCCGGCAGAAAGTTCTGGTTGTTCATCCACTCTTGGACTTTGGTCCTGATCCAGAACTTGAGCTTTGGGTGCCCATCCGTTTTACAGATCTGGTTTCTTGTGTGCAGGCTTTTGGTCTTTTGTTTCTCAGGCGGGTGCAATCAGATCTTTTAGGAAACACTAATTAGTGGCTTCCTACCCTATGATTTTTAGGCAACAGTAGGTCTGTACTTTGTTAGAGTCACAGGTCCCACACGGGGAGCATGGCCCAATCAATCCCTGGAACCCGACCACAGTCCAGAAGTGGACTAGCAACCAACACGTTCTGCTGAAGTTTAAAGCTAGTGAACGTGATGAGAAACATGGAGACTTATTTTCTGTTGGGTCCTATTCACGTTTTCCGGCCCATCTACACATTTTCTTAGTCTTGACTAGATCCGTGGGGTGTTACGTTGTACTGTTATCTTCGAAAAGAGTATCTCATCGGGGCCTAGGTGCAAGCCGTGGGTAGGGGGGTTTGGGTTAGGGCCAGTTCTAGAAGTTCTAGGGCCGTTAAAAGCTGGGTGGTCGTGTAGTATAGAACACGCGACATCAGCGCTGATGTAATTGGAGGCAAGACAATGTGACACCTCTCTTACGTAAAACAGTCTGAGAAAGCATGAATGAAAGGTCAGCCAGTGTGTAGATAGGCCGGAAAACGTGAATAGTACCATGTTTTGATATAATCTTCTTCTTGTGGTACTGCTTATGCCGTGAAGCGTCGCAGAGAGAAGTTAGGTGTAGTTTTCAGTCTAGTTCTGTATCGTGTTTAATGTCATATTGCGTGTGTCTGCAGCGCCTCTTTAACTCCATCCAACGATATCTTTCTTGGTCGACCTCTTGCCTTGTAGTCTGCTGTTTTCACGTAGTATGCTGCAGCTGCTGGTTGATTTTGTCCCATTTTGTTCAGATCACCAAACCATTTGATTCATTGTAGTTCTGTGAAATTATTTACCGCCATTCTGCCTACCATCGTTCTTAGTTCTTCTTTGGTGACTCTGTCTCATTTAACCCCCCCCCCCCCCCCCGGTTACATTTCTTATACATACCAACTCGCATGGGAGTCACCGTAGCGGAGCGGCTAGACGCTTGCCTGCTGATCAAAAGGTCATGTGTTCGCTAAGTGGCGGAGCTGGACTGGTTTTTTTTTTTTTTTTCAAAAATGACCTTGGCTCCCAGGTTGACCCAGCCTTGAATGGGTACCTGGTGCAGTCCCGGGAAGTAAAGACGACCGACGTGATGCTCACCACATCACCCATCTTGTGCCAATCGGTCCAAAGAATAGAGGTATAGCCCTATATGCCATATACGCCTAAAGCCGGGAGAAAGAGTTCTTGACTTTTTTTTTTAATTTTAGTCATCTCACATGTTGTAATTTTGGGTTTATATTTTTCTATGATTGTCCATGCCTGACACTTATAGCACGAAGTTGGTAGGAATAGCTTATTTATCAGCTGATGTTTTGTGTGTGCATGTTGATATTTTCATGCCTCAAAAGTGGGGCTATTTGGTAAATTATGTTGTTAGCCTTCTTTATTCTGTTTTCTGTTTCTCGAGGGGTTTGTGTGGTATCGAGGCATGGTGTCCGCCTTGAGAGCGAGAGGTCCAGGGTTCAATCTGTGAAAAGGGCTGGGATTTTTTTCACAGGGATTTGGACTTCTAGTATTTCCCCTGGTCTCTGGGTAGTGAGATCGGACGCCCGTGTGTATTGTTACGCACATAAAAAATCCCTTGGCAATTGGAAATTGAAAAGAGTAGCCTAACGGCACTACCTGGGCAACATCTGGAGTCAAAAATCTACCCAAAGTATTTCAGGATCCTCGCCGGTGCTACAGAACCCGTGCACAATGCTGAGCTTCTTCGGACACAGACTTGAGTTAGAAGAAAGAACGGAGCGCCTATGGGTTACTACTTGTGTGCTATGATGTTGATCCGTTGTTCAAACTTGAACTGTTGTTTCTGGTTTATCATTATTTCCTAAATCCTTCCTTCTATCTACCACAGGGGGATTCAGGTGGCCCGCTGATGTGCGAGAGTGAGGGTCGGTTCTATGTAGCCGGAGTCATGTCATGGTTGATCAACAACTGCTCCGCCAACAACTTCCCTAACGTCTTCACCAGACTGCCCAACTACACCGAGTGGCTCTACAAGGAACTAGACTACTTTGAGTGGATGCGCTATTTGTAACCAATTCTCGGCAACTTAGAATCAAAACCATTTGCACACTAGACTTCTGGTCACTATTAACCGTCAGATGTCCTAATATAAGTGTGTCATACGGTTGAACAGGTTTCAGGGATTTGCTCAAGTTGGATTCTTAACCGAATAGTGTCCCTTTGAGTCACAGGCTGCTAAGTCTTAGGTCTTAGTCGAGGTTTCAGCTTCACTGCTATCGGATTTCCCCATACTTGCTCCGTTTCTGTGCCAGTGCAAATCAGATGAAACGTCCCTGTCTCATTTGAAAAACTGGTGAACAAACAATTAATGCCGGAACAATCCAGAATTATGCGCACACAGTAAATGCCTTTTGCAGTTGCTAGGGGTGTCAAAGCCAACCGTCGCTACCATAAACGCAGTTTGTCGTTGATGAAAGTAGTCGGACATGATAAGTTGACTAAACACACGTAGAACACGCCACAAAGGTATTTCACCAGCTCACACGTTAACAAGCTACCGGCCATATTGAATACCACGACCCAACCGCTGCACAAATGAAACGCTTTCCACATGAACAAAGACAGCTCACAGGTCTGCACCAAGCACTAAACTCAGTGGCTCGGGCAGAGAAACCTTAGACTACCATCCATATGAAGAAACTGCATTAGCAAAGCGCTGTCGGAAGCAAAAATAACTTTGAAGTTTAACATTTTTCCATGCGTAATCTTCCATTTTGACTGGATATTGATCTTTCAGCATGCAGTTATCTCTATCTATCTATCTATCTATCTATCTATCTATCTATCTATCTATCTATCTATCTATCTATCTATCTATCTATCTATCTATCTATCTATCTATCTATCTATCTATCTATCTATCTATCTATCTATCTATCTATCTATCTGTCTGTCTGTCTGTCTGTCTGTCTGTCTGTCTGTCTGTCTGTCTGTCTGTCTGTCTGTCTGTCTGTCTGTCTGTCTGTCTGTCTGTCTGTCTGTCTGTCTGTCTGTCTGTCTGTCTGTCTGTCTGTCTGTCTGTCTGTCTGTCTGTCTGTATATCTGTCTGTTTATCTGTCTGTATATCTGTCTGTCAATCTGTCTGTCTGTCTACCTATCTCTGTATCTCTGTATCTCTCTCTCTCCCCCTTCATGTAGTCCTGTTCTGCCTTGTAGCGTAGGGTTTTGAAGAGGTACTGGGCTACCTGCACGGTGGTATTTACGGCCACAGATATCCCATCTATCCATCACCTGCACGATCGACCTCCAGTTCTGCTTCCATTATGTCTGACACGGCTCTCTATGATGCACTGTCTGGTGGCGGTCGCCGAACCACTTGATCTGCTGTTTCTTTATGTAGTTTAGCACAGATTCCATCCCATCTTGTTTCCTGATATCGTCATTTCTGATCCTGTCTCTTCTAGTTATATTTAGGATTGCTCGTAGACATTGCATTTCTGCTGTTTGGATTTTTCTTTACTGTTGCCGTTATGCAGCCCTTCTGTTGTCCTGTTGTGCCATTATATTTCACATAGGGCTTGTAGACTATGCCTCTATTCCGTTCTGTTCTTTGCAATTCTTTCGATGTCATGGACGGAATTCTGGTCGCCTCGTCCATTGACACATCGTACTGTTTTAGAGTTTCTCTTACGTTATCTTTCCATTTTGTTTTTGATCTACCTCTTGTTTACGTCCTTCTTTTCTTTAAATGTATGCCTTTTGTGGTATAGCGCCACAGGGCATTCTGTCTAAGCAGGCAAAGCATTGGATGTGCTATCTTTGTGTGTAAATTAGAATTGGCTCTGAGCCTATTTGTTCTCTTATGACCTTTTCCGATTTTATCTCTTCTGAACACTCCCGCAGTCCTTGTTAGACATTACATATCCATGGTCCATATGTTCTTTTCTGGTATATAGTGAGTTCGTCTTTCCTCTTAAGCTTAGGCTGTTGTGTAGTTCTTCTAGGCAAATTTACGTCCAGTAGTTTAGCATTGCTTCTGGACGGTCGGCTTTCTTGATACCACTGTCGAAACCAACACAAGGCTCATGGCCCGCAGCTAGGATCAAACCCGGCACCCCGGCATTACGAAGCGTTCGCATCGACTTAGATCCGACAAAAACGGTGTAAACGTATCAAAAGACATAAATGTTATCAATATTTCTAAACACACAAACTTTGTATTTAATTTCAAGGACACAAACATTGTCAAAAGACATAGACCTGTCACTATGTTAAACGACATACAACTGTCATTATGTCAAAACACTTAAATATTATCATGTGATGATAATGATGAAGATGGCGATCGCCATGAAGTTCAGTGTTGTATTAAGAACCTACATCACAGCACTCGGGACATTCCTCTAAGCGCTTCGTCCTTATCTTCAGCAGCAAGAGCAAAGTTCCAGTTCTTGCCGTTCCTTTGAGCGTTGACCGGATCCCCTGACGTGATAATGTAAAATAATTTGTTTTGTAAAGTAACTTCTTTTTATTCTTAGTTTTTACTTTTTCAATTTGTAGTTACAGATATACACATGTATATACTTTAAATGATTTTGCCGCTTTGTACTGTACATACTGTAATATATAACTATTAATATTTTTTAATATTATTGTCTATACTTTCGTATTTATCATATCTTTTTTTTTTTATTTCACTTTGCCCACTTGATTACGTGAGTAGTAATAATATTATTATTTGTGTATGTTGAATAGCAGATGTATATAAAATATTAGAAATAATATGAACTGTATAAAGCAAACAACAACTAATAAACCATGTAACAACCAACAAACTATGCAACAACCAACAAACCATACACAACCAACAAACCATACATAAACTAACAAACTATACAACAACCAACAAACCATACATAAACTAACAAACTATACAACAACTAGCAAACCATACACAACCAACAAACCATACATAAACTAACAAACTATACAACAACTAGCAAACCATACGACAACCAAGAAACCATACATAAACTAACAAACTATACAACAACCAACAAACCATACATAAACTAACAAACTATACAACAACTAGCAAACCATACGACAACCAAGAAACCATACATAAACTAACAAACTATACAACAACTAGCAAACCATACGACAACCAAGAAACCATACATAAACTAACAAACTATACAACAACCAACAAACCATACATAAACTAACAAACTATACAACAACTAGCAAACCATACGACAACCAAGAAACCATACATAAACTAACAAACTATACAACAACTAGCAAACCATACACAACCAACAAACCATACATAAACTAACAAACTATACAACAACCAACAAACCATACATAAAACAACTAACAAGCCACACAACGAGTGTTCCTACTGACGACAATGCATTACATAAGGTAAATTAAACAAGTTTTCCATTTGACAACAATTCATTACATAAGTTGGTTGAGTTTACCATCTGACAACAGTTTTTTTAATACGATAAGTTAAATGAGTTTTTCATCTGACATTTAATTAAATTAGATAGGTTAAACGAGTTTACCATCTAACAACAATTCATAAGATAAGTTAAACGATTTTACCATCTGGCAACCATTCATTAAGCAAGATAAGTTAGATACGTGTTTAAAATCTTATAACAATTCATTAAATAAGATCAGTTAAACGAGAATTTTCCATCTGAAAGCAGCGATGAAAAATAAAATAGCACAGAAAAGATCCTTAACTCTCCCATTTTTTTTCTTTTCCAACCTTTGCTGATGTCACAGCAGGAAAAGAACAAGGAAATACAGAAGAATTTGTTATATCAAATTATTTCAAAGGTTTCAAGGATTCCCCGCGGTTTACTTTGATGTATTTTGTCTGTATATATGTAAATTTCTGTATAATTTATTTTGTTTGTTTGTTCATGGGACAGGAAATGTATTTATAGAATGCATAGGATGTGATTTATACATTATTCTTCTACTGTTTTTATACATGGCACATTGTGTTCTTTGTGCTTTCATACGAATAAACAATTATATATTTCGATAGTTTTATTTAATAATTTTTTTTTAATCGTATTGTTTCCTCCTCCTTTTCTTCATTTTTCCTCGTCCTCTTCTTTTTCCCGCGTCTTCTTCTTTTTTTTTTAAATAGTTATTCTCCTCCTCTCCCCCTCCTACTCCCACTGTCCCTCTTCTTCTCCGTCATCATCATCGTTTGTTTTTCCCTCTCTTCTTCTTTTTTTCTTCATATTCTCCTTGACCTCTCCTACTCCTCTTTCTCATCCTCCTTCATCTTCTTCATCTTCTACTTATTGTTCTCCTTCTTCTCCTTCATTTTCTGCTCTCCCACTCGAGCAAAGGCCCTCACACTTTTCACACCAATTGTTTTGAAGACTTCTGAAAAATTGGTTGAATTCTGCAGCTAAATGATTACGATTTGATGTATCTAGTCTCCCACTAGCCTTCCTATGTTATTCTTGCGGTATTTGGGTTGAGTTACAGTATTACTGTTATTTCGCCTCCATGGGTCTCCTATCAGACTCCATGAACATGCTGCAGAAAATTTCCACAGACGGTCCCCATCTCTAAATGGGTAGACATCATTGGGAAGTCACACTTAAGCTCCCTCACCTGAATCTGTGCCGGAGTAAAAGGTAATGAACGAGCGGACCAGCTGGTAAGTATTACACTGCTGTATGCGAGGAGATGGATGGTTATCCTATAAAGAAAAGACTGGCGGATAAAGGCGAATCAGACGCAAACACCATTACATGTTCACGGAATAAAGCCTGGTGAAGCATGTTCGTTTCTCTTCGAGGTCAAGACAGGAGACTTTGTAATCAACCTTTCATGGCAACAATCACCAGAATTAAGTGCTGGCACATCTGACCGCTGTCTTGTGCATTTTGTTGTTGTTGTTGTTGTTGTTGTTGTTGCAAGTGCATGGTTCAAGATTTTGCCATGACTAACAAGCTTTTCACTAAGTTTCAAATAAGACATTTTGTGTGATTTCCATTGGCACAGGACTGGAACAGTTTTGGGGCGAGCCACCCTTTCTACAGGGATGTTGGAACTTCGAATAACGACTTGGGGTGACTGTTGCATCGGAAGACTGAGCACCCATGGAAATGCCCAAAGTGCAGTGATGTCGATTGTAATAATATAGAATAACAGAACATTTCTTCTCTTATGGACCATGTAGTTCATGAACGAATTAAACAAGTAATCTTCTTTCTTTTTTTTGGCGCTGATGGCTGTAATCTCCGGCGGAAAGTTCTGGTTGCTCGTCCACTTCTGGACTCTAGTCCTGTTCCAGAAACTGAGTGTTGTGTTTCACAGGTCTAACTAATTTGCATGCACACTGCTGGTTCCTTGCCACTCAGGTAGATGTACAAAGACTTCGAGGGAAGCCTTCAATTAGTTGACTCTTACGACATGCTTGTTAGGGAGGCAGTGGGTCTATTCTTGTTCTCCCTACAATGGGACCCCGGAACGCACACGGGGAAAGAAGTAATTAACAAGCACTCTGATTTTCAGTTCGAAATTTTATTTACTTCATGATTTTTAAAATACTTCCAATATATGCGTCCTTTTTTACGGTGTGTCAGTTAGATAGCGACCGTGACAAAACACCCGTAGGGGCTATTTTTTCGTCAGTACGTTTTTATCAAAGTAGTTGATGACGTTGCCTGCAGGTTGGTAATTGGCCACGTACATATACATACCATTGCCTGCCTTCTGCGTAGACATGCCAACCCCAATCGACTGGCAGTCCTTCCACACGAGCTGCGTGAAGTGACCTTAGAGGGGCAAATATCAGAATGGATTAGGGTTTTTTTTAAAAAGGAATTAAAGGACCCTTTTCCACGCCTTAAGGTGTATAGGGCTAGAGCTATATTTTTACAGACCAATCGGTACAAGATGGGTGATGTGGTCAGCATTACACCAGCCGCCTTTACTTTCCGTGACTGCACCCCGTACCCACTCGAGGCTAGGTCGACCTGGGAGCTATTGTCATTTTTGACAAAAGTCCGGTTCCGCCAGGAGGCGAACCCACGACTTTCAGATCCGTAGGCGACCATCTAGCTGCTCCGCCACAGCGACTCTTGAATTAGGGTAGGTTTGTATAATAGAGGGAAATGTCAGAAGAGATGATGGTAGGTTTGTATTATAATTGGCAATTACCGGAAGGGGATTAGGGTAGGTTCGTGTGAAAGAGACAATTGTCTGAAGGGATCAGGGTCGGTTTGTGTATAAATGTGAACTGCGCTAAATATGATCGTGAACTAAATATGGTGGGTAGCAGACTATTTTCGGAATAGCGTCTACTTATGCAGTACTGCTTGTGCACATGAGGGCTCTCGTTAATGACTGCCTGCATCTACAGTGAGCTGTATTTCTGGCGGGGGACTCTTAGTGTTGGCACATCCCACGGCTGCCTAATGTAATTGTTGTGTTTCCTTAAAGATTGTGCAAGGACCTCTATGTTTATTGATCGTTTTTCAAATGGGTCTGAGAAGAACACTTTGAGTGATTTCCTCTAGCACATAAGCGGGCAAATATGCTGTGAACAGTCCGTTGTGACGTTGGAACCCCGATAACTAATTAACTAGTTTCAGTAGATCAGAATTTCTTTCAATTCCATAAAGAGGTGGCCGAATACCAAAACGAGGTAATATTTACATGGGAATACTAAATCTACAGGAGCTATATACATAACCTTTGTCAGGGACTCGTGTGTTGTTGGGTGTTTTACTGTAACTTGTATAAACTTAATATGTGCTAGACTGATCATATTTTGACTGGGGCACTGAATAAATTCAGTCACACAGGGTGAGCTGTTTAGTACTAGAAGAGGTAATTTTGACGTTGATTTTCTTCTTCTTCTTCTTATCCTTCTTCTTCTTCTCCTCCTGTTTCTTGTAACCTAGTGCCTATGCCGTGAAGCGCCACAGAAAGGGGTTATGTGTAGGTTCCTGACTTGTATTATTTAAGTAGCTTGTGTTAATGATATATTGCGTATCTGTAGTGTCTCTTTTACTCCCTCCACCCCTCAATTTCTTGGTCGGTTTCTTGCCTTGTATCCGGCGGTTCTCGTGTTCTAGATGCTGGCTGATTTTGTTTCGCTCTGATCAAAGGATCAAACCATTTGAGGTATAATCTTTGAGGTTCTATGAAATCATTTACAGGTACTTGAAGATGATTAACATTGTGATTTGAAAAAAAAAAAATTACATACTTCTCCCTGATTAAGCCAGCCTAAAATGAGTACTTAGAAATATTCTGAGTAGTAAAGGCGGTCGACAAAATATTTGACGGTTGTCAGACTTTGCTGCCTGTATTTATTATTTTTTAGGGCAGTGACTTTCAACCATTTTCAGGTGGCGTCCCCTTGAATACATGACAAGACCCCTACGCCCTCTACTCCTAACTTTAAAACAATGCAAGTAAGAGGACACAAACAAAATCACAAGAACTTTTCTGTGGAAAGGTGCCCCAGACAGCAAAACATGTACTCCAGGACTGCACCGAATATGACACATTAGGGCAAACCTTTCGGCCAGAGAGAACAACAGTGGAACGTACACTCTATGGACCACTGAATGAACTAACAACGACAGTGAAATTTATACAAGAAACAAAACTGCTGGTACAGACAACTTTTTTCAGGCGAAAGAAAGAAGAAGAAGAAGACAAGCACTATTAACAAGAACCTGAAGAAAAACATCGTCTAGTCTAGTAACATAACGTCCTTAGCTTTTTCATTTTACATTTCGTTCAAAAAATATTTTATTTGTAGTTAAACTTAAAAATCGTATTTATGTTGAATGTAGGATTAAGACTCGACATCACAGCACTTGGGACACTCCCATAAGCGCTCCGTCCCATCTTCAAGAGCAAACGAAGAGTTCCAGTTCCGATGGCACCAGCAACTGTCTGATTATCTATCTATCCGTCTCGCCTTTCCCTTAAGTGCTGAGCGTCGGCTAGATCCCCTAGCAACTCCTCGCATCGCCATTCTCCTCAGACCGTAATAATTAATGTGTGCCTCCGCACTGTTCACTCGCTTTCTAAGGGACCTCACAACTTCTAGCGTGCCATAAATCGGCTCGCCACCAAGTGGTGCAGAACCGGCCAGTGTATCTGCCTGCTCGTTTCCTAACACACCTGCACAACCTGGAGAATGTATATTTATATAATATGCTGATGAAGGCTATACAGCCGCAACGTTCACTTGTCGTCTTTGTACGTGATATTGGGAATCTGACTGGTTCTACCTTTTGTTTGGTTTATCTTTTCAAGGACTTGGAAATTGACCGTGTTCTGGAGAAGTTGATGGACGCTCGCCAGAATGCACTGACCACAGAAGAATGTGACACTTTCAGAAAGGGCAGAACAGCCTTCCTTCCTCGTGATCTGCTAGTTTATTTATGACATCAACTTTCTTTCCTAGAGCTAGTCAAAGACTTAATTTCCTTCGATAATGTACTTATTTGTATGTGTATGTGTGTGAGAGAGAAAGAGGGGGAGGGAGGGAGAGAGAAAGAGAGAGAGAGAAAGAGAGAGAGAGAGAGAGAGAGAGAGAGAGAGAGAGAGAGAGAGAGAGAGAGAGAGAGAGAGAGAGAGAGAGAGAGAGAAGATTGTGTACGTTTTCATTTTTTTCTAAACACTTTTGTGTGTGAAGTGTTGTTATACAGTTTGAAGTTAAAAACAGTCATTTGGACATGAGAAACGAATTAATCATTCTAACGTCAGTTCTTATGGGAGATAATGGCTTCAGTTTTCGAGCGACACGGTTCTAAACAACCTTTACATAAATAATCAAGGTATAATTTCAGTGGTTCAAGGTCCACAGCTGTGAGCTTCAAGGTGAACGATAGACATGGCCAATGAAGGCAGTTTTTAGGGGTGCCTAGTTGGTCATGTTCTTAGTACACCTGTTTCCATAGCAAGTCGCACACGCCATTTTGAGGTGACAGGTTCGATTTCCGACACAGTAACTACAGCTGTCAGAATTTCTTTGTCTAGTGTGTCCTTCTATCTGTCTTCTTCTTTCTATAAGTGCCAATTATTATATTGTCTGCTTGTTTATTATATAAACAACCTTTATACATGAGTTTAATTTTCGAAGGGATGGACCACAGTTGTCGGCATTTGTGGTTTTGGCGTCGCAAACGCGCTTTTTAATGCCGGGGTGCCAGGTTCGATTCCAGCTATGGGCTCTGCGCCTTGCGTTGGTTTCAACAGTGGTATCGAGAAGCCGACCGTCCAGCAAATGGCAAACTACTGGAGGTGAATTTGCCTAGAAAAACCAAAACAGTCGAAAAATTATGTGGTTGGTACTGCAACTTCCTGTTAAGGATACACAACTAACTTTTGTGCCACAGTAAAGAAGTAATCACGTTGTAAGTCATGACTCACTGGTGTTCATTGCGAAACCGGGCTTTTGAAAGTTGTAGTTCTGTATCTCCGAGTACCACATTTCAACCACTTCATCACCTATAACACAAGAGAAAAAAAAATTGCGAGGTCACAATGATGAAGGTTTTAGGTTTTAGGTTTATGTTTATACAGCGAATCAACATCCATAGCACACGGGTAGCAACCCATAAGTGCTCCGTTCTACTTCTTACTCGAGCCTGAGTCCGAAGAATCTCAGCGCAGTGCACGAACTCCGTATCACCAGCTAGTACCCTGAAATAATGTGGGTAGATTTTTAGGTGCTATTCGTTTCCAGGCCCGGGATTAGAGTAACCTCCCTTGCCATTCATGCCTCGGTATGTCGCTGGACCTCTCCTATATTGCGGGTGAATCGTGTTTTCCTTTTTGTGAACGGTTAAACCGTCGCCTCTTTTCTCGTCTTCTCACCACTCGCTTGTGTGATTATTTTTACGTTCTGCTACCTGCGCCACGGTTCGAGAGTTTGGAAACAGCTATATTTTTCTATTCCTACTCTCCTTGTAACTGCTTTCTTTCTCTCGAGGGAAGCCACCGCCAACGTACGTAGAAATACAAAAACATCCCAGTTTAGACAGCCAAGAATCGTCACGCCTACTGCGCTTCCCCTGCAGTACTTCTTACGTGTACACAAGCGCCTGAAATAAACTCACAACAACACAATCTCCCACAAACATTACATACGCTGATCGAACACCAAACCAAGCCATGTTATAACACCCCCGCAACATAGGAGAGGTCTAGAGACCTAAGGAAAGCATGAATGCAGGGGAAGTAACTATAATCCTGGTCCTGGAAACGTGAACAGGACAAATTTTTAATTTTTAATTTTGCCCGGGCAGCGCCGTTAGGTTACTGTTTTCCATTTCCAACTGCCTAAAATCCCAGCTTTCACCGTGGCCTGAATCCGGGACCTCCAGCCCTCGAGGCGAACGCCATCCCTCGAGACCACTTAGTGGTAACCAGAATGGTAATCACTCAATGCTAAAGGCAAAAAGGTTTCATTCAGAGTGAGTAAAGTGAAGGACCATTTTCCAGGCCTGAATACGTATTGGGCTAGACCAATATTTTATATGCCAATCGGCACTTGGTGGGTGATGTGATCAGCATCATGCCGGCGGAATTTCCTTCCCAGAACTGTACCTGGTACCCACTCAAGGCCGGGTCGATGTGGGAGCCAAGGTCATTCACGGCGGTATCTTTATCCGGAGTAACCAATGAAGAAATAAAGGAAGTTACAGGTAGAGGCGCAGATTCAAAGGGGGAAAAAAACACAGTAAAAATCGACTAATTACAGATGTTTTTTTTTAATTTAAAGTGCATCTGGCTGAGAGGCGAGGACCCAACAGTCTTCTTACAAACAAGCCAGATCTGTCAAACGGATGTGCACGCAATACTCAAGTTCTAGAACGGGAGTAAAGTCTAGAATGGGACGAACAGCCAGAAATTTTGCCAGAGTTTATAGCCGGTGAAGGCAGGAAAAAATAGCAGTGAAATAGTAGTAAAACATTTTCTGCGGTAGAAGAAAAATATCAAACAGAACACTACTACCACCACAACCACCACCATCACCATCACCACTACTGTTACGACCACGAATGCTGTTACTACTACTATACTACTACTACCACCACCACCAATACTGCCAGAACAACAACAACAAATACAACAACGATGACTACTGCTGCAGCAGCTGCTGCTAGTAGTACTGCTGCTGCTTCTGCAACTACTATTACTACTACTGCTGCTGCTGCTGGTGCTGCTGCTGCTTCTGCTAGTACTACTGCTACTACTGCTGCTGCTGCTACTACTGCTACTGCTGCTGTTACTGCTGCTGCTACTGCTGCTGCTACTGCTGCTGCTACTACTACTGCTGCTGCTGCTACTGCTACTACTTCTGCTACTACTGCTGCTGCTGCTACTGCTCCTGCTACTGCTACTGCTACACAAACAACCAAATCAACAACTCGTTAGCAACAACAACAAAACCTAACCAGCCCACGTATCCTACCACTGAGAACTCTTGTGTGTGCCGCCAGGTTTTCCCCGATCCCCTTTCTCCTATCAGCTGGGCTGTGCTCAAATTTGTTCTGTTTGGCTAGGTTCTCAGCCCACTCCTGGGCCAACTT